CAGTCAGAGGTGAAAAAGAGATTATATCATCCGTTCTGATTCGTCTAAACAGAAAAAGACACAGCCTGTTAAAAAAACAGACCTGAAGAGACACAGATGTAGGCAAGTGTAAACAGATGATCAACCATTTACATCCGTCCACCCATGAGCCACCCATGGGTTTGACACGGGCGTTTAGTCTATATCTCCCTTCACAGCATGAGAGGCTTCAGTCTGAGCACACATTAGGCTTGGTTATATGTTAACCATTTCCCTCCCGGCCTATGGCTGAATGGCGGCCGGCAAAAACCCTCACCATTCTGGGTGGACGCCATATGGCGTCCTTTCTGGCATACGAAGTTTGCGCGCCTGCAGAGCCACGCAGCGGCGCGATCTGTCACCGGCCATGTACCTCGGACACGGCCGATGACAGATCTGAGTACCGGCCCCGTTGCCGGTACTATGTGACCTGCTGTGACCAATCACAGCAGGTCACATGACAGTTGTATACAATGGATGGCTTCCTTTCATGCCATCCATTGTATACTAGTGTGTCTAGCTGTGAATGGGCACAGCGATCACATGCACAAGCTGGGCCAATCACAGCCCAGCTGTGTCATGTGATTAGCTGTGGCCAAATCACAGTTAAGAAAAAAAAAAATCCTGAATGAATCAATTTCATTCAGGTAAATGCTTGCTTATAGCAAAGTAATTCTTTGCTATAAGCAAATTGTGTAAAAAAAAAAAAAAAATACTGATCACTTCCCCAAAGTAGTACAATGTTACTATGGTACTTTGGTCATAGTGAAATATGAAAAAAAAAATCTTAAAAAAAGAAAAAAAAAATGTAATAAAAAATTAAAAATAATAATAAAAAATGATATATATATTTTTTTCATACTGTCACCAGTCAGTGTCCCTGATCACTGCCATGCCAGTTATATGATGACGCTGTACTGCACTGATGACAGTATGTAAAAAAAAATAGTGAAAATTATTTTTTTAATTTTTTAATTTTCCGAAAAATTATGACAAAAAAAATACAACTTCAAAAAACTCGCCATGCCTCTTATGAAGTACGTTGGACTGTCTACTCTGCAAAAAGGGTCATTTGGAGGATATCTGTACTGTTCTGACATTCTTGGACCTCAAGAAATTAGATTGGCTGTCAGTACTTCAGGACTGATCAATTTTCAGCTACAGTGGGGCAAAAAAGTATTTAGTCCGCCACCAATTGTGCAAGTTCTCCCACTTAAAAAGATGAGAGAGGCCTGTAATTGGCATCATAGGTAGACCTCAACTATGAGAGGCAAAATGAGAAAAAAAATCCAGACAATCACATTGGCTTATTTGGAAAGAATTTATATGCAAATTATGGTGGAAAATAAGTATTTGGTCACCTACAAACAAGCAAGATTTCTGGCTCTCACAGACCTATACGTTCTTCTTTAAGAGGCTCATCTGTCCTGCACTCATTACCTGTATCAATGGCACCTGTTTGAACTTGTTATCAGTATAAAAGACACCTGTCCACAACCTCAAACAGTCACACGCCAAACTCCACTATGGTGAAGACCAAAGAGCTGTCGAAGGACACCAGAAACAAAATTGTAGACCTGCACCAGGCTGGGAAGACTGAATCTGCAATAGGTAAGCAGCTTGGTGTGAACAAATCAACTGTGGGAGCAATAATTAGAAAATGGAAGACATACAAGACCACTGATAATCTCCCTCGATCTGGGGCTCCATGCAAGATCTCACCCCGTGGGGTCAAAATGATCACAAGAACGGTGAGCAAAAATCCCAGGACCACACGGAGGGACGTAGTGAATGACCTGCAGAGAGCTGGGATCAACGTAACAAAGGCTACCGTCAGTAACACACTACGCTGCCAAGGACTCAGATCCTGCAGTGCCAGACGTGTCCCCCTGCTTAAGCCAGTACATGTCCGGGCCCATCTGAAGTTTGCTAGAGAGCATTTGGATGATCCAGAAGAGGATTGGGAGAATGTCATATGGTCAGATGAAACCAAAATAGACCTGTTTGGTAGAAACACAACTCGTCGTGTTTGGAGGAGAGAGAATGCGGAGTTGCATCCAAAGAACACCATACCTACTGTGAAGAATGGGGGTGGCAACATCATGCTTTGGGGCTGTTTCTCCGCAAAGGGACCAGGACGACTGATCCATTTACAGGACAGAATAAATGGGGCCATGTATCGTGAGATTTTGAGTGCAAACCTCCTTCCATCAGCAAGGGCATTGAAGATGAAACGTGGCTGGGTCTTCCAACATGACAATGATCCCAAACATACCATACCGCCCGGGCAATGAAGAAGTGGCTTCGTAAGAAGCATTTCAAGGTCCTTGAGTGGCCTAGCCAGTCTCCAGACCTCAACCCCATAGAAAACCTTTGGAGGGAAAGTCCTTGTTGCCCAGCGACAGCCCCAAAACATCACTGCTCTAGAGGAGATCTGCATGGAGGAATGGGCCAACATACCAGCAATAGTGTGTGCCAACCTTGTAAAGACTTAAAGAAACGTTTGACCTCTGTCATTGCCAACAAAGGATATATAACAAAGTATTGAGATGAACTTTTCATATTGACCAAATACATATTTTCCACCATAATTTGCAAATAAATTCTTTCCAAATCAGCCAATGTGATTGTCTGGATTTTTTTTTCTCATTTTGTCTCTCATAGTTGAGGTCTACCTATGATGCCAATTACAGGCCTCTCTCATCTTTTTAAGTGGGAGAACTTGCACAATTGGTGGCTGACTAAATACTTTTTTGCCCCACTGTATATCCCATAGTTTGTGAACTCTATAACTTTCCTACAAACTAAATAATACATCCTAATTTGGGTTATTTTCACCAAAGACATGTAGCAGAATACATCTCGGCCTAAATTTATGAAGAACAATTAATTACTTTTTTAACAGAAACAAAGAAAAATGTGGGGTTTTTTTCAAAATTTTTGGTCTTTTTTTTGTTAATTTAGAAAAAAATAAAAACCCCAGTGGTGATTAAATACCACCAAAAGAAAGCTCTAGTTGTGTGAAGAAAATGATAAAATTTTAGTTTGGGTACAATGTTGTATGACCGCGCAATTGTCATTCAAAGTGTGAGAGCGCTGAAACGTGAAAACTGGCCTGAGCAGGAAGGGGTAAAAGTGTCCGGTATTGAAGAGGTTAAAGATAATTCAATCCTGAAAATGTACTGCTAATTAAAATTCAGGTAAATCCAAATCTTATCATTATTGGTGACCAAGAAATGCCTATAAGCATGAGGGGAGCTGTAGTGATAAACCTCCAAGGCCCAGGAATCTGCTATGATACTGCCAGCAGCATGTATTCATCAATCTATAGTCTTAGGGAAGAATAGCTGGGAGAAAAGCCCTACCTACCTAGCGAGGAATGGCGAGTTTTTTGAAGTTGTATTTTTTTGTCATAATTTTTCGGAAAATGAAAAAATTAAAAAAATTATTGTCACCAGTGCAGTACAGCGTCATCATATAACTGGCATAGCGGTGAACAGGGACACTAACTGGTGACAGTATGAAAAAAAATATATATATTTTTTTTTTTTATTTTTATTTTTAATTTTTTTTTTATTTTGTTCAAGATTTTTTTTTTCATATTTTACTATGACCAAAGTAGTACAATGTTACCATAGTAACATTGTACTACTTTTGGGGAAATGATCAGTATTTTGTTTTTTTTGTTTTTTTTACACAATTTGCTTATAGCAAAGAATTACTTTGCTATAAGCAAGCATTTACCTGAATGAAATCGATTCATTCAGGGTTTTTTTTTTTTTGTTTTTTTTTTTTGTGCTTAGCTGTGATTTGGCCACAGCTAATTACATGACATGTGCATGTGACCTGCTGTGACCATTCACAGCTAGGCACTAGTATACAATGGATGGCATGAATGAAGCCATCCATTGTATACAACTGTCATGTGACTTGCTGTGATTGGTCACAGCAGGTCACATGGTACCGGCAAAGGGGGCCGGTACTCAGATCTGTCATCGGCCGTGTCCGAGGTACACGGCCGGTGACAGATCGTGCCGCTGCGCAGCTCTGCAACCGCGCAAACTGTGCATGTGCGGGAGGACGCCAAATGGCGTATACCCCAGAAAGCTACAGCATTTTTGCAGGCGCCAAATGGCTATACGCCGGGCGGCTAATGGTTAACCACTTATACCCCCTTCCTGCCCAGGCCAATTTTCAGCTTTCAGCGATGTCACACTTTGAACGACAATTGCGCGGTTATGCAACACTGTATCCATATGAAATTTTTATCATTTTTTAGACAGAGCTTTCTTTTGGTGGTATTTAATCACCTCTGGGTTATTTATTTTTTTGCTAAACAAACCAAAAACAACTGAAATTTTTTGAAAAAAAAACACACATTTTTTCTTAGTTTTTGTTATAAAATTTTGTAAATAAGTGATTTTTCTCCTTCACTGATGTGCGGTAATGAGGCTGCAGTGATGGGCACTGATAGGCTGCACTGATGGGCACTGATGAGGAGGCATTAGTAGGTGGCACTGATGGGCATTGACAGGCATCACTGATGGGCACTGAAAGGCAGCACTCATATATGGCACTGATTGCAGGGTCATGCAACACTGTACCCATATGAAATTTTTATCATTTTTTTGAGACAGATAGAGCTTTCTTCTGGTGGTATTTAATCACCTCTGGGTTTTTTATTTTTTGCTAAACAAACCAAAAACCACTGAAAATGTTGAAAAAAAGTTTTTTTCTTAGTTTTTGTTGTAAAATTTTGTAAATAAGTGATTTTTTTCTTTCACTGATGGGCACTGATAGGCTGCACTGATGGACACTGATAGGTGGCACCGATGGGCACTGATGAGGAGGCACTGGTAGGTGGCACTAATGGGCATTGACAGGCATCACTGATGGGCACTGAAAGGCAGCACTCATATATGGCACTGATAGGTGGCACTGATAGGCAGCAATAACTGGCACTGATAGGCAGCTCTGATGGGCACTGATAGGCCGCACCAATGCGCACTGATAGGCGGCACTGACTGGCACTGGTTGGCAGCACTGACTGGCACTGATAGGTAACACTGAAAGGCAGCTCAGATGGGCACTGATATATGGCATTGATGTGGCACTGATGGATACTGGCAAGTGGCATTGATGAGCACTGACAGCTGGCACTGATGGACACTGACAGCTGGCACTGCTGGGGCTGCACAGATCATCAGGGCACACTGATCATCAGTGCCCTGATGATCAGTGCACATGTCCCCTCTGAGTAAAGCTGATTACCGGTTCCACTCCTCTCGAGCTGTCAGCATGACAGCTCGTGAGGAGAGAAATGCCGATAACCGGCATTTCCCTATTTCCATGTGATCAGCTGTGATTGGACACACCGACATCTTCAGCTCTTTCCGTTGATCGGTGATCCGCTGTGACTGAGGGACACATCGCACCACCGATCACCGTGCTGCGCGTTCCCGAAGCCGCGCATGCGCAGTTAGAATGGGAGGACATCATATGACGTCCTCCCAGAACGAGAGAACCGCCTTGCGCCCGTCATTACCTTATATGGCAGGCAGGTGGTTAAATTGGCAAATTTTCAAATTTAAAATATTTTTATTTCCAATATAGACAGGTAGAAGGAAATGAACTGGCACATTTTGGTGCTAAGCCATAAATAGAGATGAGTGAATCTGAAGTTTTTTTCGGCAAGGTTTAGTAAAACCTGTTTGAAATTGGTCAAACCCGAACATGGTGAATCCTATTAAAATCTATGGGTATGCATATCCTGTTAATAAGTTCTGTCCATTTTTTAGGGCTAGTAGTTAAATTACTGCAAATAAAAAGGCATGAGACACTAGGCACTGCTGATCTTTAAGGTACTGAAGGTTTTACCTCCTTCATGATCAGGCCATTTTTTGCTTCTTAGCATTGCGCTATGTTAACTGGCAACACTGTACCCAAACAAAATTTATATAATTTTTTCCACACAAATATAACTTTCTTCTGGTGGTATTTGACCATTTTTATTTAATTTTTTTTGCGATATAAACAAAAAAAGACCAAAAAATTAAAAAAAAAAACCCAATATTTTTTACTTTCTGCTACAAAACATCCAATAAAAAATGTTTAAAAATCTTATTCCTTCGTGCATTCTACTACATGTTATTGATAAACAAAAATCTCAATAAATGTACAGTATATTGATTGGTTTGCATAAAAGTTATAGCACTTACAAACTTATGTATGTATACTGTAATTTTTTTTTTGTTTTCAATGCTACTAATGGCAATGATCAGCTAACTTATAATGGGACTGTGCTAGTGCAGCAGGCAATCTGACACTACCGGACTCTGGGGGAAGTGACTAACTGCCACTGACATCACCAGTGACATTAATACAGTGATCAGTGAAATAGTATACGCTGTCACTGTACTAATAACACTGGCTGGGAAGGAGTTAACATCTAGGGTGATCAAGGGGAAAAATGTTTGCCTAACTATGTGTAATATGTGTAAACTGTACTGTTTTACTAATAGATCTCTTAGAAAATGAAGCATAGAGTAGCAGTTGATTAGCAGGCCATGAATCATTGGCCAGGACTTGCTGACAGGCAAGGAAAGTATACAATCACAGCAGGAACCAGCATGGGACCAGCCTACTGAAAAAGTAGACAGCAACGTATTGATATTTCGCTTTGCCTGTGCAGCCTTCCGACTGCAGTACATTGCAGGAGGTTGGTCTGCAAGTTGTTAAAGACATAATTCATCTTTACCAAAATAATGCCAATGCAGATAAGGAACGTCTTTAGATAAAAACAAGCAGTGCAACTTTGACCACAATTGAATAATGCCCTTTCTAAAAGTGTAGGCCATTTACGTACCTATCAAAGCCTGACTGGCAAACCCCAAGGACATTGCTAAGAGAGGCCCAGCTGTTACTGTTCCCCTCCACGATCACTGGAGTGAGTGATTCAAAGGCCTCACATGAGCTTTCTCTACCCTGATGCAGTAGCTCTAAGCTCAGGCAGGATCTGAGAGCTCAAATCAAAGTGGACCTGACTGGGAACTAGTCTCTCAGTTCCCCTTCTGTCTCCACCAACCCAGTGACAAGTCATTGCCCAAATTTGGGAAATTCCACCGTCACCTGTATTCTCATTTGTATTTAGCTTTCGGCCAAGGAATCTCCCAGCTGACAAGCTGAATGGGGCCAGGAATATTGTACAGTGTGGGAAGCTGTCACATACATAACAGCTCTCCAGCACAGACAGGACCCACTCGGACAAAGGGGGTGGGGTGGTGGTCCTTATTATTAAAACTGATTATATAACAGAAGTTGAAAATATTTTGAGTGACCTAACTACATATACCCCATTAACTAAAGACCCCCTTGTTAGTTATAAACATTCTCTTAAGAACATCATTAATTATGGTTTTGAGAACAAAATTCTTCATAAAAAAAGAGAAAGCCTTCCTGATTCCAATCGCACCTAAACTTCCAATCTTATACATCTTAACGAAGATTCACAAAGACCCTATTAGACCACTGGGTCGTCCAATAATAAGTGGAATTGGGTCTTTATGCTCCAAAGTCGGAGAATATTTTGATTTCTTTTTGCAACCTTTGGTTGCACAAACACCTTCCTATCTTAACAATACCAAACAGGTATTGAACCTGGTCAATGATGTCATAATATCTTCAGACACCTTTTTGGTGACAGCAGATGTTGCCTCACTGTATACAAACATCAACCACTGTGATGGCATGGAAGCCGCAGATTTTTATTTGACACATCACAGCAATTTTGCCTGTAGCACAGAAAGATTTTATTTTGAACCAATTAGAATTTGCCATGAAAAATAACTATTTCTGGTTTAACAAGACCTATTATTTGCAAGTCAAGGGAGTAGCTATGGGGGCTAAATTTGCCCCCAGCCTCGCTTACTTATTTATGGCGAGGTGGGAGGAGGACATCATCTATGCCAGAGACTGGCCAGAACTGATACTTTACAAGAGATACATAGATGATGTTCTCCTACTATGGAATGGTAATGAAGAATCACTTGTCAATTTCTTTAGCACTTTAAACAATAATACACTTAACATCAGCTTAACATATTCCTACAGTAAACTAGAAATTCATTTTCTAGATTTGACACTCATGAATATTGATGGAAGGATTATTACTAAATAATTTTTCAAGATTACAGATCGTAACAGCTATATCCCTACCAACAGCTGCAATCATCCAACTTGGTTGGCAAATATACCAAAAGGCCAATTTACAAGAATTAGATGCAACTGTACAGATTTGGATATGTATTATTTTCAGGCTATGATTCTGAAGAATAGATTCCTTGAAAAGGGATATGACAATACCACTTTAATAAAAACTATGGACACTGTCGCCAATCCAGACAGAAATGCAATGTTGCAGGATAACCGTAGACCAACACAGGCAAAACTTTGCCCGTGTTTTACCACCTATTCACTACAACATAGATCTATCAGTAGAATAATTAAAAAGAACTGGGACATCTTATTAACCAATCCGGTCTTGTGTAATATCCTACCTGAAAAACCAGAAATTGTTTTCCGGAAAACCAAATCAATAAGACAGTCTTGCACCTAACGTAGTAGATCCCCCCAAACACATCACGCTATTTACTGATCTTAAAGGCTTTAACCCCTGTAATAAGTGCGTTATTTGTAAATGTAACAACATCAGGAAACGCAGGATTGATTCATTTAATTCGCACGTGACTGGCAAATCATACACTATAAAGAACTTTATTTCCTGCTATAGCAATGTATGTTGTGTACTTACTTAAATGCCCTTGCCAGAAACAGTATAAAGGGCGAACCACTAGAAGATTACGAGACCGCCTACGGGAACATGTATCCAACATCAAAAAGGTTATAGGGAGCATTCTTTATCCAACCACTACAGAATTTACCACAATAAAGACACTACTCTTAAATTCACAGCCATTGACATTGTTACTCCCCATTGGAGAGGCATGAATAAAACGCTTGCAGTTTCACAAGCTGAAACCAGATGGGTATATGAGCTTGGTACCCTACACCCTTTAGGTCACAATATTGAAATTGACGTTAACTGCTTTATCGCAAACAGCTAAAATAGCGGATACTATATACGCCCCTCTTTATCCCTTATATATTGAAATCCATATGGATTCTATCTTGGGTATAACAGTGCATACGATATGTTATTATTTTATTAATACTTTTTGGCTTATGTAATACATTTTATGTCTGGATCTTATAAATTTAATTACTCTTTATTCTTAGCTGGAATTTTATAGACATATCAAGGATATTTATTATTTATGACATATGGACTTTTAACACTTATTATTGATTTTTATTCTTGGTCTTATGTATAATCTTAGCTGCATTTTTATATAAGAATCAAGGATACTAATTAAACAAATTATGGATTTTAACATCTATCATTGATTTTTTCTGATTTTTATGGTTATTTTCTTTTTATGGTACTGATAATTTTATCATTTCTCTGTGTGGCTGGTGTTTGTAAATATTGCTTTTTTGCCATAGATTCATATTTTAAAACTCCCATTTTTAGGCACTCATTATATATATTATCTGGATATTATTTATTGTCTTTAACACAGTGCTAGAAATTAAATAATCTTGTGGAGCGGTGCTTCTAATATATACCATATTGATATGGGACTGTATGGCCTCTAAAAAAACGCCGCCCTGCTGTCACTGACATTTTGTATAATCCCCCTCTGGTGACAGAAGCAGGGCTCACATCTTCCTATAATAGGGAATGACATATCTATTTTATCTACGGCAAAATGGTGCCCGCGGAGTAGCGGACTTCAACAAAATGGCGGCGTCGAGATGCGCACGCGCCATTACCGCACTAGCCTATATAATGAATGGAGGTCTGTCATGCTACTGTTGGCCTCCCCTCTGATGATGTGCTCTGCACATCATCAGAGGGGAGCCAACAGAGCATGACGTCACATCCGCCTGGAGCCACAAGGAGGCCCGGCGGCCATCTTAACTAAGGGGTCAGTACTACTACTCTCCACTATCACTGGGATTTTGAGTGTTTTACTACCCTGTTTTTTTATTTGTATTCTGACCAATAAAAATTTTAAATTACTACACTATGGGCACCTGTTCTTTGGCTCCCATTGGAGCTAATTAACTTCCAGGATACCCTATTGCGATCCACTACCACCAGAGGGAGGGAGCCCTGTACCCAGGCTGTGCACCCGTCCAACCTTAAGGGGACCTCTGGACCTAGCAGTTTAACCATACAACAACCAAGACAAGATTATCAATGTAAATAATATAGTGCAGCGCTTAAAGATAAACCAAAAGTT